GCCAATGTCCTCCATTGTACTACGATTACATTTTTTACAAGCAACATACCATGGACGTTGTGTTACTGGTTTTGCTGTTATTTTGCCTTTTATCCATATGTTGCCCTGTTTTGAAATAGAGTAGTATGTGAATGTAAGTATACATATATCGATGTAATTGTCTTCAATTAAGAAGATGGATAAGAAGGTATATACTTCATGTGAGGACAAATTATTAATGGGTACAACTTCAAATGTTTCTGAAGATGAAGTTGGAGATGGCAACAGAAACATGTGTTTTGAATTTGTAATTTTTTCAGTTTTTTGTGGTTTTGCTATTTGCCTGCATTAATGTAATGAAGGAGCTATTAGTATAGGTTAGATGTGAAGGCAGTAAAGTGAATATAATGTTTGTGATTTGTACCAGTCACGCAACGATTGTATTTCAAGTATGTTGGCATTGAAGATGAATTCAGCGGTTGGAGTAGTTGATAGAGAGCATCCTGTAATTGCAGTTTAAAGTGTAAGCATAATTTTATTCTTCTAGGTATTCGATAATGGAAAATATAGGACAGTTATGTGGCATTTTCTGTTGGAGGAAAGGGTATGTTAACCTACCATTGAATGTAGTTGCTCTGAGGTTTGTGGCAACAAATGTAAGTTTTTCAGTAATGATGGAGCTTATGTGTTCACATTCATTTGTGGTGAAGTCATCCCATGCTGAAAGCTTTATAGACTAATTGCTATTGATAGAGACATTCGAAAGTGTGTTATTAATAAATTTGTGTACTTGTTAATTTGAATTTCGAAATATCTATTATGTTAATATAATATGTAGGATGTGCATGGAAATTGGTAGAGAACTAACGATTGATCGATGAGAAAGATTTCTCGGACTTTAGCTGGTTATCCATCGATTCGCTTTGTGATTGTTCTTGTCGACAGAACATTAGTTGCAATAGCAGCAATATCTGTTGGGCATGTAACATAAATGTGAATGGTAGGTAATTAAAAGCGTAATTGTGCTGCTATTAGTTGTGGTGAACTAACGATTGATCGATGAGAAAGATTTCTCGGACTTTAGCTGGTTGTCCATTGATTCGCTTTGTGATTGTTCTTGTCGACAGAACATTAGTTGCAATAGCAGCAATATCTGTTGGGCATGTAACATAAATGTGAATGGTAGGTAATTAAAAGCGTAATTGTGCTGCTATTAGTTGTGGTATGCATATGAATTTACCAAATTTGATATTTGTTGTAATGTAGTTGGATGCATCTGCTAGCTGGATGAAAAAGTATGTTTCTGATGCATTTGCTTTTTCTGTTGTTTCAGTTTCTTCAACTGATATTCGAGAGTTTAGCATGATTTGAATTGTGTTGTCAACGATTCTATTTCGAGGGTCAATGTATTTGATGATACCATTTGAAAAATAGTATGTCTTGTATACATTGAGTAGGCCATCAAACATAGGGATGTCATCATCAAAACACGTACCTTGAATTCATGAGCCCTAATATGGCGTAATATTAGTTATAATGAGTAGTTGGGTTCTACATTTAGTGTGTGTGTGTGTATGTGAGGTTTTTGTTTGTTGCTAAAAGTAGGATAATGTAATATGTTGTTAGTAGTGTATTGAATATACCTCACTGTCTACTAGGATGAATTGTTGGATAGTAGTTGTCCCAAGCTTGCTTGTACAAGGGGTTGTTTTTCAATGACACGAAGTTTGGCTTTCCATCTACGTGATTTTTCAGATAACTCACGAATCATTATAGCTTTCTCTTCTATTGTCCTTGCAAATACAAATATGGGTGTAAGTGAATCTGCGTACATGGATACATGGATTTGCTACATATTGTGATATATTCTTAATTTGATTGATTTTTTATTGAGTTTGAGTGCAAGTGTATATGGATTTGTTTATGTTGGAGGATATGTTTCATTTAGTTTGGATTGTCAAATTCTTGTAGAGTTTGTTGGGTTTATAAAATCTTTGTAGAAAACATTTCATGTCATGTTGGACATGTGTTTTGATTGTTTGGTTGGCTTTATGAGGATTTTTATAGCAGAAGATCGTTGTTCTCTTGAAAGTGCGACGTATAATTGTCCATGGGAGAACACAGGTTGTGGAAGGTAAATGCCGACTTGCTCTAAGGTTTGTCCTTGAGCCTTGTTGATGGTTATTGCGAAACAAGGTCGGATTGGAAATTGTTTGCGTTGAAATGGGAAATGGCAGTTATCTATTTTGGCTGGTTCAAGTGAAATCTTGGGAATCAAAACTGAGTTGCCCTGATAATGTCCAGTTGCAATTTCAGCGTGGATAACATTAGGTTTTTGAGCTTTGCATATTAATCGCATACCGTTGCACATTCCTACAGCAGGGTCTATGTTTTTGAGAAGCATTATTGGGCAAGACTGTTTGAGTTGTAGTTGGTGGGGAGGCATTCCATTTGGAATCAAGCTGTGAAGAAATTCTTATGGGTAGTTTTCTTGTTTGTCATTTGTCGCTTTGTCAAAACTAGTGTATGTGTATGTACTTCCTAGGAATTTGTCCATCAAGACTTTGTTGATTTCATCTACAAATTCATTCTTAGGAGTCAAGATGGCTCGAGATGTCAAGCATTTTGATTTGAATGCATTTTTAGTGAAATCTGGATAGATGTGTTCAACCAATGTTAATATTGGATTTGAACCCTCTTTTGTGCTGATAGTCATGCATTCAGGTATTGTGATTAAGTCCTCATCTATGTTGTTGTATGTTCCATTGCTGACGTCTAATAAGAAATCATAAAATTAAGGATCATGTAATGCTCGCATGTTTTCTGTTAGATGAAGAATGTGAAGATGATGCCAGAGTGTTGATTCAACCAAGCTGTTGTTTATGCATTCCTCGCGAGTGGATCGGGGACTAACAATAAGAACTTGTCGGAAATCATCACCAAATACTACAACTTTTCCAGCGAAGGTGGTCTCATTTGAGCATACATGGATTTGCTACATATTGTGATATATTCTTAATTTGATTGATTTTTTATTGAGTTTGAGTGCAAGTGTATATGGATTTGTTTATGTTGGAGGATATGTTTCATTTAGTTTGGATTGTCAAATTCTTGTAGAGTTTGTTGGGTTTACCTATGATGCTTTTTTGATAAAATCTTTGTAGAAAACATTTCATGTCATGTTGGACATGTGTTTTGATTGTTTGGTTGGTTTTATGAGGATTTTTATAGCAGAAGATCGTTGTGCTCTTGAAAGTGCGACGTATAATTGTCCATGGGAGAACATAGGTTGTGGAAGGTAAATGCCGACTTGCTCTAAGGTTTGTCCTTGAGCCTTGTTGATGGTTATTGCGAAACAATGTCGGATTGGAAATTGTTTGCGTTGAAATGGGAAATGACAGTTATCTATTTTGGCTGCTTCAAGTGAAATCTTGGGAATCAAAACTGAGTTGCCTTGATAATGGTCAGTTGCAATTTCAGCGTGGATAACATTAGGTTTTTGAGCTTTGCATATTAATCGCATACCGTTGTACATTCCTACAGCAGGGTCTATATTTTTGAGAAGCATTATTGGGCAAGACTGTTTGAGTTGTAGTTGGTGGGGAGGCATTCCATTTGGAATCAAGTTGTGAAGAAATTCTTATGGGTAGTTTTCTTGTTGGTCATTTGTCGCTTTGTCAAAACTAGTGTATGTGTATGTACTTCCTAGGAATTTGTCCATCAAGACTTTGTTGATTTCATCTACAAATCCATTCTTAGGAGTCAAGATGGCTCGAGATGTCAAGCATTTTGATTTGAATGCATTTTTAGTGAAATCTGGATAGATGTGTTCAACCAATGTTAATATTGGATTTGAACCCTCTTTTGTGCTGATAGTCATGCATTCAGGTATTGTGATTAAGTCCTCATCTATGTTGTTGTATGTTCCATTGCTGACGTCTAATAGGAAATCATAAAATTGAGGATCATGTAATGCTCGCATGTTTTCTGTTAGGTGAAGAATGTGAAGATGATGCCAGAGTGTTGATTCAACCAAGCTGTTGTTTATGCATTCCTTGCGAGTGGATCGGGGACTAACAATAAGAACTTGTTGGAAATCATCACCAAATACTACAACTTTTCCAGCAAAGGTGGTCTCATTTGAGCAAACATCACATAATATTGCTTCGAAAGCTTCAATATTTTATTTTTTTGCCATAGGTGCTTTTATCCCAAATGATTAACTTTGTTTTTCGAATGAGTGTGGCAATTGCACTTTGTTTCCCAACATTACAACCGGTTGAACTGTTGATGTCTAAAGGTATTTTGAAGCGAGAATGTGCGGTGTGGCCACCAGGTAGGTTAGCCACAACTATTTTCATGCTAGCTGTTGCTATAGTTATAGATCTTTCTAAGCATATAGCAACTAACAATGTTCGGTACAAGAAAGTTTTTTCGATACCTCCTGGGCCATCAACGAAAAATCCACCTCCTAAGTGTTGCTTTATGTGATGCATAATTTGATCAAAGGCAGCATGCTGTGCATTGTTTAGGAGGAGTTTCATATGAATGTCTTCTTCTGAAATTGGGATTTGTAGTTCAGCCTCAATTTCCTTGGTAGGTTTGTTTCGTTTGATGGAAGCTTTGTTGTATGCTGGGAGGTTGAAATCTATAATTTTCTTGCCCATTGATTCAATGAAACTTGCAATATGGTCAAGCGTGATGTTTTGTACTTGTTCTACTATGAGTTGCAGATTTTGTCTGTAGTTTTCTGATAGAGCATCATAAAATTTCTTCCACAATGATCTTGGATTGTTAGGCTCACAGAAAACTAATAGTGTTGCAAATAGATGCTTCAGTAAGAAAGGCATTTGGAAAACACTTGCTTTTGCAAGGCATTCTTTAGTAGCATTGTCTTTCTTAAGCAAGCATCATTTTTCAGTAGCTTCTCTGAATGAGGAGCATATTTTCCCATCTACAGTACGCAAGTTTATGAAACTTGTAGCTCCTCTTATGTGTGTTAGAAGTATACGTAGGAAGTATCATTTTCCTTCAGAAGGGTTGGCTAATACAATTCTTCCAATTGTTCCACTTCTTTGACGTGGTTTCCAATATCGATCTTGAACATTCCAAACATAATGTTCAGGGAATTCAGAGTACAACCATTGCCTAGTAGATGTATTTGCCTTATTCGTCGCAAAATATTCAGTGAGCATAGTTCTAGAAGCACGCCCAAATTGTAAAACACTTGGCAAATTATCTTTTTCCTTGAAATTTACAAGTTGCATGTTTGACAAGTGTAAATGGAGAGCTAAAACTGTTGAGGAAATATTGTTAAATGTGAATTTGTAAATATGCCATGCAGCTTCAGGTGGAGATATCCAACGAGCAGATTGGTATGCACTAATCTCATCAATAATTGAGCCGTTATCATTAGCAATGAAATGGAAAGAAACACGATCATGCCCTCTGTATACATATTTGTAAAAATATTTTTCAGCTTTGATTGTGGAGCAGATTTCAACATTTATGTGGCAATTGAACTTTATAAGTAAGTACGGGTTATAAGGAACAACCCATTTATTATCTAGAAGGCTACCTTGAACATTCACACACTTGCCGTCATTTCGGCGCCTATAGATTGGGTAAGAGTTCTCACTACACATGGTCACTTCTGAGAATTCTTGAGGGTATTTGTTCTTACATTCCCCTTTCTTGGTCATGCAAGGGTTTGTTGGCTTTAGTGCACCACAGGGGCCACGCATCATATGCTTGACAACTACCTTATACAAATGTGGGTTGTCATCTTTATTTGGTACCTCAGCAGAAATGTATGTGTCATATTCTTCAAGGTGGATAATCTTTGCATGAGATTTCAAAACCAACAAGAAATGAACATGTGGAAGGCCATACTTTTGATATTCAATCACATATGTGTAAGCTGTTATAGGGCCGAAGAGTTGTTTTTTGACCAACTCATTTTTTAGTTCCATAATTTTGGCACGAAAAACACGAGCGATAAGATTTGGTCGATTTTGTGCCTCTTCTATTTCATGTAGCTTTGCTTTGATTTTAGGCCAATAAGGGTTACATGTCATTGTCAGGAATGTGTCAGGCTTTCCATATCATTGTACTAATGTCATAGCATCCAGATATCTTCGTTTCATATCTCGAGGGCCACCAATAAAGGATGCTAGAAGGACTATACGTCTACCAATGTTTGATGCTCTTGTTTCATCACTTGTTACACTGTCGACTATTCCTTGATACAAGTCAGCACAAATAATGTCTTGGTTAGCTCGTATGTAGTCTAACCAAGTGCTTTCAATTTTTATGTACATGTCGACAATAAATTACTGTAGCAACCTGCCTGAAAGTAATATTATCAATATTTGTGAAGGCCTAATTTGTAGCAGATAGCAGTAGAATTGGCAACATGAAATTCCTGATGCATCACTCGTAACAGCATGTCAAGCTGTAAGGAAAAAGATAGTTAGAATGGATGTAGGGTGGTTTTGAGCTTTTGGGTTTTTTTCCTCAATGAAATGATAATATAATTTCAATGAGTAGAGGATTTTTTACCTTTATTTTCAGAGACTAACAATTCTGATGTGTTGGCAAAAATGCTTGTGTTGTCTAGTGGAATATTTTTCCTTTTATTTTCACGTTACGGTGTTAGCTTGTTTCACCATAAGGAAATAATAGAGGGTATTGAAGAGGGTCATAGCTGTTGTGGTAATGCGTAACTCGTTGGCTACCACATAATTTTTTATACACAAGAATGTCGCGAGTCTTATTGTTTGTGGACCCTTCTTCAACCCATATTGCTGCAACTTGTGAAGCTGACGGCGCATTGTAGGTTCTTTGATCTGGGCAAGGATTTGTTCAAATGGCGATACTGCATTCCTCGTCCATATCAACATCTTTTAAGCTGTGCAAGAATTTTGCATAGGAATTTTATGACAAAATGCGCATTATTGACTCGATGATATCTACACATAATTGTGGTGTATTTTCCGAACGATGTTGCAATTCATGCTCAGTGTCATAGAAATAAAGTTAGAGGTATTTAGGACTGGTGTCAGGTGGTTGTAAACTATTGATGTAGTGATATATTTGACCTTGAACTTGAAAAGTATATATGTCATTTTTCCTTGTTGCAACCTTGCTATCAAGTTTGACACCCATAGATGTGAAGGCAAGTAAGTTATTGTATGTTCGAATATTTGCACAGAAATAGTGGCTGTCCTTATCTTTGGATGTCATTAAACGATATATGGCTGGTGGTGGTTGGTTGCAAGCAAGTTGTATTTGACCTTGCTAATAGCATAACCCTTCAGGTTCATATGGAAAAAGTGTTGCGCCATAAAATCTACAAGAAAATGTTGGAGGAAGACAGGAAGCGGAAGTTGGAGGAAAAAGTATCCTATTTACATTTCTCTATGTTTGTTCATAGCCTTGCAACAACAATAATTATTAATATGTCAAGTCTTGATCAAAATGTTGTAGAATACATTAGAGGTCAAGTTTTCTGTTGTGGGAACTTACGATGATGCTTTTTGGTACAAGCTGTGGTTATCTTGCTATCAGATTTGTTCGCCTGATAGTTTAATGAATCTCTCGAATGGTCGACATATGAAGGAAGCATTCCTAGAATTATGATAGTAAGTGGAATATACAATTAGGGTGCATTTTGACAAATGGTAAATAGTGTTTACACATTGGTATGGAAATATGAAGTTATAGGGTCATACGGATTGGGAAGTCATTTGATTATGAAGAAGCTGCAACGCCACCAGTTGAGCAATTCCCATAGCAAAAATTTTCAGTTAGGGCCACAACAGTTGAAGGCACATCTATATAACATTTGAATTAGATGTTCTAGATGAGAAGAAAAATCATAAAGCAGAGCTACAAATATGTTTGGCTCTTCCTTGCGAAGGCTAGTTAGACAATAGTTTTGTAGGTTTGTTTACCTTATTGCATCTGATAACACGTTGTATACCTTTATCATTGTCAAACATTTTGTTGCATAATTGTTGTTCTTTTGCTCGTTGACGATTTTCCCTTCGTTGTTGTAATGGTTGTTGCTTGCGTTCACTTGTTAGTCTTGATCGGTATGCGTGCTGACGTTGGCGATTTTGTTTACGTTTACGAGCTGGGAAATATGGACTGGTTAATTGTGAACATATTGGTGACGCAAAGTATGTCGATGTAGTTATTTAACATACCTTGTTGTTCTTCAAATAGGCTTTCTCAAGTTTTGACTAAATGGTTATTCATATTGTTTGAGCTAAAGTCTTAAGTACACCTACATTTAATTGTCAATTGTGTAGCATACATTTACAATAAATCAATAATGAATTTGTTAAGCTAGTAAACAATTAGAAGCTAAACGAAGAAATATAATTTCAATTGAAGAAATAAATGCATGTTTAACAAGAGCCAGGCAAAGGGTCATGCTAATTCTACCATGTCAACTTATTAAATGTTTAACTTGTAATATAGGATCCAATTATCTTCAATGTTTGGGGTGATATTAACGACTCTTTTTTTTTTTTTGGCATTTTCATTTTTTTAAGTGCTTTATATTTTTATAGCTATTTGAAGTTAAGAATATGATTTGCATTGTTGGAAGTGCATTGCTTCAAAGTAGGGAAAAATTGGTTGTCAATTTTGTATGCTGTTTACTTCTTGGATAAAATATTGCTAAACATCCTAATCAACAACATGATTTCCATCTCCTCTAGTGTAGAGCAAAATAGAAGAGCATATTTCACTTTCTCTAAGGCCACTCAGCATTATTTCTTCATTTCTTCTTGGTGAAAAGATAGAATATCTATTAGACGTGGGGGTCGTGCTATAGTTTCAATATAAATAATTTTTAAAATTGTGTTTGGTTTATGAATTTGAGAAGTGAAATGTAGTTATATTTTGTATCCAATTTGTCTATCTCTTTAATATAAATATTTTTTTAAATTCTGTTCTAAGCTCAATTCAATGAACCAATTGAGCATGTCTTAATATGCTCTGTATTCACATAAATTGAAGACAATGGATTCACCCTATTAGCCTAACCTGCAGTTTTATGATTTCAACAATTGTGTTTTGAATTTTAACTAATGTTCTCTCCATTTGTGCCTGGGGAACCCTTTTTTAGCCCCAGATTTTTAGATTTGGTTTAAGATTTAGGGAACCTTTCTTCACAACTGATTTGGTTTCAAATTTGGGGAATCTTCTTTCGTTTAATATCTTTGGCTCTAGAAATACTTTGAAGCTGCTTAAATAATAATGGTAAATTGAGTTATGCTTTTTATTTTTTATTTTTATATAGCTAAAAAACTTCAGGGGTCATGAGACGATGGGAGTCTTACAAAGTGAGTCTGAATTTATAATTTCTTAAGAAATCCTAAATAATTTGAAGATCAATGTGCATTTTATGCCAATTATTGATTTAAATGGTTGTGCATGTAGTTATGTTTTTGGCATTTTATGTCTCATTCAAAAATCAAAAACATAAAGAAAAAAAGAAAGCCATTAAAGACAAAGAAGCTTTGCTGACCTATCCAATTTTCTAAGTTTAAAATCCAAATCCAAGCAATAGAAATGTATGATATATTACTTGAAAATATAAAACAAATAAATAAAGAAAATGAAAATCCAAAAAACACAAGTCATTGAAGCTTCCAAAACGAAAAACCAAAAACATATGAAGCTTCTAAAAGGAAATTTTCTTTCCTAGAGCACAAATAATGAAGCTAAGGAATCTGTTCAGGTATTTGGCCAGGAAATAATTCAGCAAGAAAAAAATTCTCCTCTTCTGCTATAAGAATGTTGTTACTTCATCCACATACTTGAATAGATATCCATAATTTAAATTTCTGAAAAGTGCTCTCTCTCTCTTTTTCTCTCAAGCACACACAGTGACAAAAAACCACTAATCAAAAGTGAACATTCCAGATCAATCTTTAATTCTTATTGTTTTTATGTGAGCAGTTCTTGTTGTCTATATATTATTGTTTGTTGTATCAAAAGTGCAAATTGAAGATAAAACTCTAATTCTTATGGAAGTAAATCTTATTGCTAATCAAACTTAGTTTTTTGTTTCTTTGATGTCTTGGCTGTCAAGAAAATTAGATGATTTCTGCTTTGTGTGATTATAATTTACATCTAGTTCGCTCAATGTGAGTTTTGAGCTAGCGTTATGTTGCCATATTCTGTTGTTGTCCAACTTATTGTCATCTAATATGTAATTAGATATTTCTAATTATATTTTGATGAATTTGGATCTAAGTTGAACTGTAGATATACTCCAAGTGAATCTTTTATAAATTAGTCTGGTTGGTAGAAAGGAACCATTGTAAATTTTTTATATATGATTCTTTTAAAGAAAAACCAAGTTTTCATTAAATGAAGAATAAATAAAATTTTACATCAGATTTCCAACCAATTTTTTCATCACTTAAATTTCATAAAATTATCAAAACATAAAGAGTTGGACACATCTTATAAATAGTAGAGTTAATTATCTAAAAGTCATATTTACAAATATTATAGAGTTATTTTTCCATATTTTGCTGTTGTCCAAGTGAATCTTTTATAAATCATTCTGGTTTGTAAGAAGGAACCACTGTAAATTTTTTATATATGATTCTTTTAAAGAAAAACCAATTTTTGGGCCACATAAATTTCATAAAATTATCAAAACATAAACAGTTGGACAGTTTCATGGATGAGCAATTAGAAGCACCACACACATAAAGAAAAAACAGTAACCAAGAATTTTATAGTAAACTTAGTTAAGTTCATAAAAAGGCTGTAGAAAATACAGTGAAAGACACAAATATAATAAATTACCTAATTTGATAATCCTCAGAACAATTCCACTAAAAAAACATTACCTAATTTTACTTGAATTTGTATCTCCTTCAAAGCAATTGAATATTCTTCGATTTTTCTAGAATTCCAACATGTTGATTACATAGAAACTCTTTAATTATCACTAACTTCAAAACAATACATTTAAACCCTAAAACTATGTAAAAATGAATAAATAAATAAATAGAAAATGTACAAATATTTCCTTGAAAATGATACA